TTTTTTTCCTCTGTATAATTTTCTGTGCACCATGCAAAGTAACTTATAATTGTAAAATATATCCTTTCATTTCATGTCTGCCAGCACATCTTACAGCCTTGTTTTTATTTTTTACCCAGAATGTAATAACATCCCAGGCCTCAATTAGATCAGGATCCCATTACGTGACATCCTTCAGAATCAAGGGCAATTTTAGATGCTTGATGTCATATTACCTTCCACTAAGGGTCACATTAGAGTCAGATAAAAAGACATTCTATTTTTACACAGCAAGCCCAATATGAAATACTTGGACTTTAATGTATCACTCGTGATTACCATCCCTGGGAAGTAGTAAAACTATAATCTTTTCTAATTTCTATGCACATAAAGTAGAAGGGGTAACTCAGGGTTGCATATTACTTTGAGATTTACAAGCTCTAGAATAAAGCAATTCCCACAACCTATATGACTACCTTTCCTACAACCTAGTACTGTACAGCCTGCATTCCCTCTGGGTAAAGGAAGAAGGCATAAATTCCAGATTCACACCGTGTCTAAGAGGGGAAGGAATATTCTCCATAATCATTTTTCCAAAGTCAGTTTGGATTGTTTTTTTTTCTCTCTCATTTCATGACATATCATGACAGATTTCTTATTCTATTCTGGGGATATTGCAAGACAGTTTGTATACAAATTTCACTTTTACTACAACATGTATCGCTAAATCAAGCAATAATGCAAAGAAGCTACTCACATTTGATTTGTCACCACTATCAGAATCAGCTATTGAACAGAATAGGAAAAAAAAATTAATATAGTGAAACAGAAAAATGTGCTTAGCCTGCAGCTAAAGCTAAATTGTATCTGTATTAAAAAAAAGCTTCATGTTAGTTTTGTACTTGTTCCCACAACCAAATGCAAGCAAATGAACCACAGAACTAGATTACACCCTTCACCAACAAAAGTACGTTTGATCTGGCTACAGAGGAGCACAATATCAACTAACAGGAGGTTCTACTCTACCGCTAGCTAAGGCCACATCTAACACCATCTACTTCTGGCTGCACACGCTAGTGGTGCTTGAGCGCTGAGCACTATCTAGTTTGACTTGCTTTTTCCTTCAGAGTTCAGTGCAGGGAAGGAAAAAGCAGAGCAAAGGCAGGACCGGAGCGCGCTGTTCAAGAGGCACAGTTGTGAAGAGCTGCAGTTTTTTGTTCTTCACACAGTCTTTGAATTAAGCTGATTGCAAGAAATGGAGGAAAAAGGAATTCACAGGCAAACGGTTTTGCTCTGGTGCCCGAAATCAGAGCTCTGCAGCACGGCGGGGCCCGCGGGCCCCTGGCCAACT